CTGTGTTTACATTAATCTTGCATCATAAAAGCATAAAAGCCGATATGCACTGACATTTACCCACTTACATTACTCAGCCGAATGCACAATCGCTCTTCTTCGTGAGCATTTGAGTGTGAGGTTAAAAGCTAGCCTAGAGCGCCATCAGCTGTTAAAAACTAAGCTCAGAATCGATTCGAGAGAGAATCACGATGCATTCCGAAAATCTCAGAATCGATCCACGAAACTCAATGCATCGGTTTAATGTCCCAGCCCTACATGTAAGACAAGAAAATTGAAAACTGAGTACTTTTACTTTTACTGGAGTAATATTTTATTATACGTATCTGTACTTTTACTCAAGTACTTGATTTGTGTACTTCGTCCACCACTGACATTTACCCACTTACATTACTCAGCCGAATGCACAAGCGCTTTTCTTCGTGAGCATTTGAGTGTGAGGTTAGAAACTAGCCTAGAGCGCCATCAGCTGTTAAAAACTAAGCTCAGAATCGATTCGAGAGAGAATCACGATGCATTCCGAAAATCTCAGAATCGATCCACGAAACTCAATGCATCGGTTTAATGTCCCAGCCCTAATCTTTAGAAAAAACATTCAGTCCAAAGTTTAATTGGATAGTTCACCCAAAAAAATGACAATCCTGACATCATTTACTTGCATTCATATTGGAAGCCCGTTTCCGCCACTGAATAAAGTCGTCACAGTTCTAAGAAAAACGTCAGAATTGTGTACATTTTTTATTTTATTTTTTAGTCTTTATTTCCTCAGAATTGGAATTTATAACTCTCAATTGTAAGTTTCGTTCAGAATTGCGAGATATAGTCACAACTGCAAGAAAAAACTAAATTGCAAGAAAAAAGTTAGATAAAGTAGCAATTACCTTTTTTATTTTTTATTCAGTGGTGAAAACGGGCTTCCATACTCTCAAGCTGCTCCAAACCCGTGTTCGATACTTTGTAACCAAGCAGCTGCTGGTAGCCATTGACTTTCATGTTTTAGTTTTTTCTTCCCCATACTATGGAAGTCGATGGCTACCGCCAACTGTTTGGTTACCAACATTCTTCACAATATCTCATACATAAAGGTTTGGAACAACATGTGGGTGAGTAAATGATGATAAAATTTTAATTTGTGGATGAACTATCCCTTTAATACTTAATATTAGGGATGTCAATGAATGCGAGCAAAAGAAATAGTGATTAATGAAGTTGAGCTAAACTTTACAGCATGTTTTGCATTTAAAATGAGTGGTTTTAAAACAACGACTCAAGTACTTGTAGAATGCTACAGTGTAGTAAATGATAAAAGAGAAAGTGTAAAAGTACACCTTTGAGATCCTTATAATGGGTTTCTGACTTCCAGTGAGGAAAGATGCCAACTTAAACCAATCACGAATCAAAAACCTACCATTCATTCCATTAAGTTATTTCGCAGCATTAAAAGAGAAATTCTAAAGTTTTTTTAATGCAATTCTTATCAATACAGCAGCAATAACCACATCTACCAACTTCCACAAAACAAAACATAATGAAAGCGCTCCATATGAATCATATGCAATATTCAAATATTTCTGAATACACATGACAGCTTTGTGTCTACCAATGTTTATTTTCCCCTTATGTCATTCAAAACTGTATAACGTTTTCCTGTGGAGCACAACAGATGATATTTTGAGGAAGTCAATTGGGTCCACTGTCACTTCAACCCCAATGCATGTCAAAATATAACACAGAGTTTGGGAATGACATGAGGCTGAGTAAATGACCACATTTTTCATTTTCGAGTGAAGTATATGCTTTTAAGTTGTCGTTTAATTCTTCCTTACATAAGAAGCTTTGAAACATTATGATGTGTTGTTTGGAGCATAAACATATGAACTTTTTTGAAATGCTTCAAAAACGGTGTTCCAAGGACAAAATAAATAGGAGCATTTTTAAGTGAACTATTCCTTTAACTTCGATCATGAAGGGTCAAACGGGTCATGGCAATTTTTCCCATATTAACATGAAAAGCCACTCTTGTGCAGTTCCTCAATTACTACATTGTGAAGCCCGAGCCAAACATGCTTGAACACACATGACCAAATCACATCTCAAGGCCGTGTTAACGGGGCAAACAGGAGCAGGAAGTTTCATTGGTGAAATGCAGAAATGGGTCATTGTTGCATATGAAAGCATCGCTGCCACATGGCTGCTCTCCTGTCAGAGAACAACGTGTCTTTTGTTTTCATCAGTTTAAACGGCTCATGGTAAACATATCCTGAGATCCCAGCAGCGCACCGCCACGAATCCCAGTCACAGTTGACAGATTAGCGTGATTGCCAAATCAACAGTAGATTGGGAAGCGTTAATCTGAGCTGATCCAAATGGACGTGCATCAGGGTGCAGACGTCTCGCGGAGCTGGGCCCGTCCATTAACTCCAGCCTGATCCTTTTATCTCTTCACTAGCCATCATTCCCTCCATCACTCTCCACTTCCCCTCGGGAAAAGTAAAAGCAGACTGGGATCCAAAACGGTTTCTCTTACGTGGACATTTTTTCAATTACTTGGTCACGGACGGGTCGCTCTGGGACGCAAACACACTGCAAGAGTCGGAGAAGTTTTAAAAATTGTACAGGCATCTTTTTATTTGTCCTTGGATACAATTTTTATGGGCAGGAGGCCACCTCTCTCACAGACCCACCATATAAACTATACTATAGAAGACCAAAGAGGGTCATCCCATTTGCTACTTAAAAAAGAAATAAAATAAGACGGAGTAATATAGCAAAAAAAAAAAAAGATTAAAAAAAATTAATAATTTTTTTCTACTTGGCCCAAAATTCTTACTGGTCCAATCAATCAATCAATACATTTGATGAAAAAGTTAAATATAGGCATGTGAAAAAAAATAAAATAAAATAAGTTGTTAATTTTAAAACATTTTATAATATATTTAGATTTATAATTTTTAATAACTTGTTACACGCTAATGTTTAGTATTTTTTAATAATATCTTAAATTATTATTATACACTAACACACAAATATATATTTTTCACTTTTAAATGCAAAGCATGACATTATACAGTAATTCCAATTAAACCGGAATAAATTCATGAACACTACCAGTATTTCTGGAAAATGATGGCATGTGTGGGGAAAAAGAAATACTGATCGTTTATCATTTTCAACCCGTTCTTACTGATACTACCAAGATTATCACGTCATTCTTGCAATTTTGACAAAGCCATGTCAGCCAAAATATCAACCTATCAGACAAATTTAAAAAGAATGAAAAGCAGAATTCACAATGGCCAAAGATACAATGCTGATATAGCAAGTGGCACTTCTGTCAACCACAGACCATCTTTACCGCTTCAGGCACTCTAGATAGCGCTATCAGCATCGCTCGAGCACCAGTATACAGTCAATAGTGACAGCATGAGCACAGGCCTAGAAGAACAAGCCCAGATCAGCAGAACAACTAGCTCCTCCTCGTGTAAAGCATGTTCCTCAAGGTTGGAGGTTCGATTTCATTTGAATTAAATCGATTTCCTTCACAAGGCCTACTGCTACAGGAGCTTGAGGAGAACCGGTCTGACCTTGAGAGGAAAGGGAGGAGGGGCAGAATGCAAGAGAGGGGGGAGCGCACCCATCCCGCTGAAGAAGAGCTGAGCTACCGCAGAGTTTAGCATCACAAACCCCACCGGGCTGCTCGTCTGACCCCAGTCCTGCAACTACCAGGAAATAGTTTCATGCAAAGCCGGTTACCAAGCAACTGGGTATTTAAGAAATTGCTCCCCACCCATAATTATGGACACTTTGCAGCTTTGAGGAGAATCTACATGCAAACAGTGCATTGCAAAACAAGGCCAGATAGAATAAGAGATGCGATCAAACAAGAGAGCAGAAAGCATCTCCTCGAGCTTCCTCAGTGAAGCAATTGTGTCAAGGGACGTGGAAATGTCCTCTTATCCTCTCAAGCAGGGCTGTGGACCTCAGCAACGCTCATTTGCATATCGAATGAATGCGGAGGCTACGTCACCACGGCCGCGAATGATTGACAGCCGAAACATTCCATAAGAACGCACGCGCTGCTACTTCCAATATCAAATATGGCAACATTCCGAATGAAATGTTTCAATTTTTTTGCACCTGTTCTCCATTTCCCGCGGTGTTTTCTCCAAATAGGTAAAATCTCAAGTAGAGACGCTAAATGAACCCGAGGCAGGTGCGAGTTAGCAGCCGCCATTCGTGGAGCTGCGAATAACCGACACGTGTTATATTTAGCATACAAATGATTATTATAAATGATAATGTGACAGGCGTGCTGTAGAGAGAGTAGTGATGACATTCAGGAAAGCTATTCATAGACCTCGAGCCTCGTGTGAAACTGCAGAACACAAACGCGAGGGAGTATCTGCCGTGCTGTTCAATTAAAAGCCGATCACTCACGGAAATCCGCGATGTTTGACGAGGTTTCATCTCGAATGTGTTGATAAGGCAGTGCTAATACTCTGCAGCAAGCGGAGGAATCATGTGTAGGCTAGTTTAGACTTAAGATTTTAAATCGAAACGCCCTCTCTATAAAGCTTTAATTATCCAGGCTCTGTTTATTTATTTCTAATTATGGCAGGGATGGCATTCCATACTATTTTAGCCGACTTGAGGTTTCCTGAAAGAGGGAATATGCCATCGATTGCCAGAGCTTTTACAGGCATCTCGGTTTATAGCTTATGGGTTTTAAACGGTGACATTGTTTTATATGGCTCGACGTGTATGCATCTCAAGGAATCCCGCAGACCAGTACAGAGCCATAAATCTCAGTTTGCTGTAAGAAATCCGTTCAGTGCAACCGAGCTTTGCATTATGGTGCAATTCAGTCAAGCAGAATTTTGCGTGCCACAAAACGCACACCTAAATCATAGGTAGTTTCGTATTTTTGAGATCTGAACATCAGTTTTTAGGGCGTGCAATTTACAGTTGTCAAAAAAAAGCAAAAAAACACGATTACTCACCCCAGCTGCTCGCGGTGCGCCCGATGAATTCCCCAGTCCGAGGGTTGTAGATAAAATCTTTCCAACTCGACTGTTTCTCGTCAGCTTTCTCCTCTTTGTTGGCCATGGCGCGAATAAGATGAATAAACCAGTTTGAGGACGATGAATGAGGACAAATCAAAGAAAGCGCTGATTCGGGCTCGCCACCTAGGCGTTGTGAAATAAATGAGGTGTGCGGTCTTTCCGCGCGGCTCCAGACTGCAGCAGTCCGTGGGTCGGGCTCTCCACTAGCGGCGTTTAAAGCGCTCGGGCGCATGCGCAGTAGAGCCGCATCCAAGCGCGCCACGGAGTTTGCAAAGTGCGCCGAACTCGACAAGCTGTACAGAAACCTTCATAGAAAGCTAGTGGCTAGTTATTACTATTATTATTATTTTTAACCTCAGCGACTGTTTCTCAGGGTGGGGCTGAGTCAGTTTTTGGATAGGCATCTTGACTTGACTAAAAAAAAACAAAAAAAAAACTATTGAACATTTCCGCCGGGGTAAGTAGTCACAATAAGAACCTGCTTTTTAATTAGGGATTTTAGAAAATACCTATTCTTAAAAGTATGAAGATCAATCTAAAGTTGATCTTGCAAGTTGTTTATTGACATTCCAGCTCAATTTTAAGAGAAAAACAATTCAAATATTTTTTTAAAAAGAAACCAACATGTATTAGCAATGCTAAAAAAGCTCGTCTTTTGACTCTATTCTAATCTAAAAGCCTTTTATCCAGATGCTCTTGCAAATGCAAGCGTGTAGATATGAAGATGATCAAAATCGAGACGTTTTTCTCGTTTGATGTAGCTGTATTCTGCTTCAGAATGACATCTGATCTGAATATCCTTTGCCTATGCCATGTTTCTCATTGTATTGGTTTTGAAAAAATAAATAAATAATAAAAATAACCACAAAAATAGAAAATGTTGAAAATAGCAACTTTACACCACAACAGAAAATGCTAATAATGTTGGCTGTCTTAAAATGTATTCATTACGGATTAAATTTGTTTTTCTTCTTCTTCTTCTTCTTGAAACACCTACAACCCTATGAATAAATGATTATCATCTTCTTAAATAATTACTAAGATCTCTCAGATCCATCTCTTTTCCTCTGGCCCTACAGAATAACCGCTATTTTTTTTATTCTAAACAGCATAAAAATCATACATTTATTTCATATTTAGTTTAAGGATCTGGGGCCCGTTCTTGGTTCCTTGCTTAATACATCTGAGCTGATTTGAAAGATGCCAGATCTTCTAATCGTGATAACTGATCTCTGGCTAATTTGGTTCTTCAAACGAATTTGCGGATTTGATTCAAATATCTGGATTAAATTGTCTGAGTTTAATGCGTGTTCCCCGTAAAGGGCAGATGTATCGATCACGCGATTAGTGGGGTACTCTTGTAATAAAGTAGCAGTGGCTGGGATAGATTTTAAATATCAATTGCACTTACAAAGATGCAATCTAATCCTGTTTACATGAAATAAGCCTGCTCCCGAGCAGGTTAATCTTATGTACCTGTTGCTATGACAGCAAGTCCAGGATGAGCTTTGAAGAACCAAATAATCTAAGATCAAGCCAAATCATCAACAATCAAATCCAGCTAACTGAGTTAGCGACGTACGAAGAACGGGCCCCTGATCTGATGCACTTATGTCAAGTATATTTAAAATCTGTTAAATTCACATGAAGTATTGGTCTTGTGAACATAACCCAGTACTTACAAGGATATAATTTGCAATGCTGCTGAAATTATTTACTTTTTTATAGAATATCACGGTTTGATAATCGGTAATATTAATAACACCATGTTACAGCTTTGAAGCATTGAGTTTTTAAACCTTCATTTTTTTTCTAGACCACACCACACCACAGGTAACCAAAATTATATGTTTATATATGTATACATGTACATACAGTTACATTGCAAACCAAAATTCATTAGTTCTATTGGGTTGAGTTGGTTTAAAATGGCGACCTGAGTGGATCAGGACCGTTTCCTTTCCATCTGCCACACTCAGTGCGAACAAAAACTCTCAACAAGACTACATCTCCCAGCATGCAACATTCAAATAGCTTGAGGCAACAGGCTGGCAGCTATCTGAACCCAGAACAGCAGATACAACCACCCATGTTTTATACATGACAAGGAATAAACTATACGATACAACAAAATGACATTGAATCGACCAATAAAAAAGAACAATTTTCAATTTTTTTTAAATGCAAGGATGTAAATTCCCTCCAGTCGGTGAACAGTAAGATCAGGACGTTGCTTTCCAATCCCTAGGAGAAGAAAATAAAGTGGCACTAGCCCACTGGACTACGCAGATATCGTCATATTCAAATATGACCGAAATAAATACATTTTTGGGAAGATTTTGAACGTCTCTCTGGGTAGGGAGCAGAGAAGAGTAGTACACTGAGATGACAGTTGAACTGAAGATGTGTTAACCTTCACTTATTCGCTCTCCTCTATGGCCCGACCCACGGCTCGCTAGCCAAAAAGCACCAGAAAAATACAGTAACCCGTCTCCCACAGAACCAAAGACTCCTGGCGTTTGTGCCAAACTGGGAAAGAGGAAGAAAGAGATGATGAGGGAAGTTAAAAATATGGTAATATAGAGAGGAGTGGCAGCTTATTTCCTGTGTAGCGTTTCCTCCCCGGCTCGGCTCAGGATCACTCTGGGGAAGAGGGATTGTCATCGTCTTCATCGTCATCCTCCTCTTCCTCGTTGAAGGAGCTGGGCGTCTGGCCGCGGGACTCTGAGGTGTGTGATGGGGCTGTGCTGCTGTGACTGTGAACAGAGAGAGAGAGACGGGACGTCAGCTAAACGACAGCCTGATTGAAAGCAGCGGTCGGGATATCCGAGGATGCTGTGCTGACTGACATACCTTGTGTGGCTCAGAGGTGTTCTGTTGGAGTTTGTGGCCATGTCTGTAGGGACCGAATCACATGTTTTGTTTAGAAACCCGTATTAAAGGGATAGTTCACCCAAAAATGAAAATTATCCCATTATTTACTCACCCTCAAGCCATCCTAGGGGTATATGACTTTCTTCTTTCAGACGAATCCAATCGGAGTTATATAAACAATTTAAGTCTTTGATCTTCCAAGCTGTTTAATGGCAGTCAGCGGGTGTTGCAGTGCATCAGTCCAAAAGAAGTGAAATAAAGCGCATCCATCCATAATAAAAAGTGCCTCACACAGCTCCGGCGGGGGTGAACGAAGGCGCCCTGTAGCAAATCGATGCGTTTTTGTAAGAAAAATATCCATATTCAAAACGTAATAATCACTTTAATCTAGCTTGCGTCAACAGTTGTACACGGAAGCAGCTCCGGGAGGATGACGTAAGACGTCGGCGTTGCGCATGCGCTGGTGAGTCTTGTGAAAACCAACGTTTGTTTACAGGAGCAAAGGAAAACCAGTCTCCTCTTGGCTTATATCGAAATCCTCCGACATTCTTCTTTACAAATGACCGTTGTTTTGTTTGTCTCTCCCCTGCGCTTCCGCGTTCGTCACTTCTGAGCAGTGCATGCGCAACGCCGACATCCTACGTCATCAGCCCGGAACTGCTTCCGTGTACACCAGTGAGCGCAAGCTAGATTAAATTGATTATTACGTTTTAAATATGGTTATTTTTCTTACAAAAACGCATCGATTCGCTACAGGGCGCCTTTGTTCACCCCCCGGGGCAGTGTGAGACACTTTTTTATTATGGATGGATGCGCTTTATTTCACTTCTTTTGGACTGATGCACTGCAACACCCACTGACTGCCATTAAACAGCTTGGAAGATCAAAGACAATTTTTAATATAACTCCGACTGGATTCATCTGAAAGAAGAAAGTCATATACACCTAGGATGCCTTGAGGGTGAGTAATTCATTCAATTAACCCTTTAAAGACAGCAACTCGACACGCATAAATGAAACGCTGCTTTATTTGCACAGGAAGGACGTCTGTGGCTGAAGGGTAAAACGGAGACTGATATAGAAGATGAAACGACTGAAAGGAAGTTTTATCAGAGCATACATGTGTGCCATGAGATACTCACTGGTCACATACGCTTCCAGAGACTTGGGCACCAGAGATGTGGCCACGCTGAGGTTCTCTGGAGAGCATGTGCCGTTCTCGAGCCCCAGAGACATGCCCATCCGCTTCAAGATCTCAACGTCATCATGGATCTCAAATGTGTTGTCAAAGTTAAAGAGGTATTCACACCTGTTTGAAGGAACAAGTTCATTTTTAAGTCAAATATACTATTATTACAGTTGGTGCATAAGTAACAAGATGCATGGGTAAAGTAAAGGTCCAATAACAATACACTACCATTCAAAAGGATTTTTTTTTTAAAAGAAATACATTCTGATATTCAGCAAGAATGCATTCAATTGATCAGAAGTGACAGTAAAACATTTATAATGTTACAAAAGTTTTCACACACACACATGAATAAATCTGTTTATTTTCCTAGGTTTATAAAATCAGTGGAGGATATTTCTACAAAAGAGAGAAAGGGAGAGAGAGAGACACAAGTAAAATGGAGAAAAGAAGCCAAACAGGTGGAGAGTGAGATCTCGTACTTATCACTCGAGATGGAGCAGTCGATGACGGTGCGGACGTCAGTGTTGAGTATGATAAAGGGAAGCTGAATGACAGATCCTGGAGGGGGAGTTGACTGGGACAAGGCTTCGCTGGCCTGGTTCCTCTGCACCAGATTCTTAAAGGCGATCTGCTGCTCACGGAAAGACATGCACAAATCAGCACACATATACACAGAGAGTTTCGGCCCTTAAGGGTCCACTCATTAACCTTAAATCAGTCAGCATGTTGATAAATAAAAGCTTAGTGTGGTCATAGCACTAACATATGCACACAGATGCTAACTCGGTTCAGTCTCGGGACGTGTGGGGGTTGGTCAACGACTTGAACCAAGCCAATGCATTTCATTTAGCGCTCCAGAAGGCCTCCCAGCTTGAGGACAAGTCCTGATCAATATCCCAGCAGGACCAAGGCCTCTTCTGCTCCGTCCACACATCTACGGCCTCATCCCTGTGATCTGTTGCATTGCACGCCGTATCATTTACGGTCATCTATAGTAACACCACACATCAACACAAACAGACAGCAGTGATTTCCTGAGATTCTGTGTGTGGGCTTTAATTTGACTGCAGGAGATGGATGGTGTTCTCATCTCACTTCAGAAAGAAAAATGAATCAATATTAGTGGTTTGCTGCTTTTCCACAGCTGGCCACAGTTAATGAGTCCCTCCCCCTCTCATCTGCTGCTTTT